TGGATATACATGGCTGTGGAGGCTGCGGGGGCGGGGAGGTCGGGGCTTCGGATTCCCCAGCTCCTGGAAGTGTTACCTGCTCAGAGTTCTGGTTGAGAACCTCAAGGGCCTCCCCCAGCCAGAGGAAGTTGCCTCGCTAAAGGTGATGGCCCCCACATTCAAGGCCTGGTCACCGCGGAAGGACAGGTACCAATCCTGTCTGCTGCATCTCTGCAGAGGGGTGGGCCCAGCACGGCCCACAGCACCGGCCAGGTCTGAGTCACAGTACACCGTCTGTTAAGCCCGCCTCCCTGGCTCCCACATGGGCCTGGTTCCAGGAGCCCCCTCAACAAACTTCCTGTGTGTGTATTTCCATCTTGGAGTCTGTTTCCCAGGGCCTGAGCTAAGACACAGCCATAACTTATGTGTTTCGTTTTAAATTTAAAATTTAAGCATGCATTTTTCCCTGATACTGTGATTGATGTCAAGGCCTGCATCTTAGAAACCAGGTCCATGGTTCAGCATGCCTTCTCCTCTCTCCTGCACAAACTACACCTAAAATGCATTAGCTGTGATTTCCTTTTTAGTTTTCCTGCAAGCATGAAAACTGAAAGGCCACTAGAGAACAATTTAGATATCTGGATATGGAATCCCTCTAAAATTTTTTTTTACCTCCCCCCCCCACAATCTAATAGCTATCTCACCCACAGCTAATCTGACAGTTTTTTCTAAAAATTTAAACACTTTAATACGCATAATATTTACCATCTTAACTATTTCTTTTTAAGATTTTACTTATTTGAGAGAGAGAGAGGGAGAGAGTGAGCACGTGCATGAGAGTGCCTGGGGGGAGGGGCAGAGGGAGAGAATCTCAAGCCGACTTCATGCCAAGCATGGAGCCCGAATCAGGGCTCGATATCAGGACCCTGAGATCGTAACCTCAGCTCAAATCAAGAGTCGGACGCTTAACCAACTGAGCCACCCAGGTGCCCCCCCCCTCGCCATCTTAACCATTTTTAAGTGTACAGTTCGGTCATATTAAGTACATTCATGTTGTTGCGCAACCATCACATCCATCCAACTCCAGGACTCTTCTCACCTTGCAAAGCAGCAACCCTGTCCCCATTAGACACTAAGTCCTCATTTCCTCCTTCCCTCAGCCCCTGGTAACCATCATTCTACTCTCTGTCTCTACGAAATTAACTACTCTAGGGATCGCAGGACTTTTTTTTAAAAATTTAGTATCTTTTATTAAGTCTTTCCAAACTTAATTTTTACAGAAAAAGTGGCTGTCTGTGGTACTTATATTCTGTTTGCCTAATATTTAATTAAGTCATCTAATTACAAGAACAAGTTCAACTGGCAGAGATAGGTTTGAGAACAAACAGCACAAACAGGTTTGGGAACAAACACAACTCAGTTAGCTGGAGCAGAAGCACATGAGTACCCTAGAGACAAGCCTCCCAAATTATCCGCATTCAACGTGCTGCGGGCATCTGCACGACTGCTTTGCATAGGGACTGGAAGCTTCTTTTAAGTTGGTGCACTGGTTAAGAGAGTTTCTTCTACTATATAAAAACAGGCACTGCTAGTATTTAGTGAGCACCTATTATGTGACAGGTATTGTATAATTTGCATTACCTCCCTTAATCTCATCACCCACAAGGCAAATATTATTGTCTTCATTTTACATACATGCAGGAAACCAAGGCACAAAGAACTCACGCAGTTTATCCAAAGCCACACCCTAGAGAAGTAGCAGGGTTGACATTTTCTTTTTTTTTTAAATCAGAACTTTTTTTAAAAAAGATTTTATTTATTTATTTATTTGACAGACAGAGATCACAAGTAGGCAGAGAAGCAGGCAGAGAGAGGAGGAAAGCAGGCTCCCTATGCCCCAAGGTTGACATTTTCAAGTTGTTGTGAATTAAACCCTGTCCTCACTCTACTGGCTCTACTGACCCTCCAAATGAATATTAAATAAAAGAAGTAACAAGATTAAAAATATAACAAGTCGGAACGCCTGGGTGGCTCAGTTGGTTAAGCATCTACCTTCAGTTCAGGTCAGGATCCGGGGTGTGGGATCGAGTCACGTGTTGGGCTCTTTGCTCATCGGGGAGCCTGCTTTTCTCTCCCTCTGCTGCTCCCCCTACTTGTGTACACACACTCTCTCTCTGACAAATAAATAAATAAAATCTTAAAAATATACATACATAACAAGTAATCCTTTGTTTTCTACTGGCATTATACCAAATGACAAAATATGTCACATCTAGCTTTTTTTTAAAGACTATAATTTAACAAAAGAGGGACGTACTTAAATCCTCACAAGAAAGGAGTGAGGGTAGTACAATCTGCAATTGTTACTTGTTTACAGAGGAACTATTTCAGTTAATGAAAGACGTAAGTTTTCAGTGTTTGTAAGGAAAGAACCGAAGTCAGACATGTTAATTATGCTATCAGATTAACACACAATAAAGAATAAGCTGGAAAATTTATAGAATATAATAAAAGCTAAGTGTGTTACATTTTAAGATAGCATTTTGAATTAAAAAAAAAACAAAACCTACACAAAAAAGCTCCCCTGCCAAAAAACCCAGAGAGCCAGCACATCTAAAATAATTCATAGAGTCAGCTAATAAGTGACTAATTGAAGAGGTCGCATTACACCAATTGCACCAACACCCATTACAACCAATTGCACCAACACCCACATTAGAAAAACCAAGCGACAGTTTTTTATTTAGAAGTATTTTCTCAAGAAAATAAAGCATGAATTTGTGGTTGTCTTTAATTATTTTTTTTATTGTTTTTAGATTTTTATTTATTTGACAGAGAGAGAGTAGGCAGAGAGGCAGGCAGAGAGAGAGGAGGAAGCAGGCTCCCCGCCAAGCAGAGAGCCCGATGCAGAGCTTGATCCAAGGACCCTAGGATCATGACCAGAGCCGAAGACAGAGGCTTTAACCCACTGAGCCACCCAGGCACCCCTATGGTTGTCTTTTTAAAAGAAAAATGAATGACATTTCAAAACAGATACAGACAACATTGTAAGCAAACCGGAAAAAAAAAAAAAAGGAGGCATTTAAGATTGCCAAATCATACTGGGTAGAAGCAAGTTCTATGTAAGAGCCGATGGGAGACCTGGGAGAGAGAAGGGCCCTCGTCCTCCATGACCAGGTGGCAGGTCCCTTCTACGTCCACAATCAGGAGGTCACTCATTGGTTGAGGACATTGAGATATAAAGACAGCTGCAGAGATTACAAATAGTACAGCAGAGCCAAGAAAGGCTGCTTTGCTGTTTTAGCTCTTTTCTGTACTGACAATCCATGAACGGGAGGGACATCAACAGACACACATCTAAGACCCAGGTCTTCTCCCAGATATCCTGGGACAACTTCTCTTTCATGGAACCATCTGACCTCGATGCCCATTTCTCGATGGAATACCTTCCTCGGTTGTCCCACAGACACATCCCAAATTGATGTCATCATCAGCCCCACCCCTTCTCTCCCCTTATGTCTGTCTCCTGTCGCACTGAATGGAGCCACTATTCACTCAGACTACCAGGACAGAAGCTTAGAAGTCTCTACTTTCCTCCAGTGCACATCCTATCACCAGGGTCCTATAGATTCAGATGCAAAACCCCATTTGAAAGGATCTGTTCTTCCCCCATTCCTGTAGTTTAGGGCCTGGACTCTTGCAAGAAGTCCCCTTCTTAGTAGTGATGGATTTGGCAAGGGGGTTTGATACATAATCTCCTTATTTACTGAGCTCTAACTTTTTTTTTTTTTTTTGAAAGATTTTGTTTATTTATTTGTCAGAGAGAGAGAGAGAGCAAGCACAGGCAGACAGAGTGGCAGGCAGAGGCAGAGGGAGAAGCAGGCTCCCTGCCGAGCAAGGAGCCCGATGCGGGACTCGATCCCAGGACGCTGGGATCATGACCTGAGCCGAAGGCAGCTGCTTAACCAACTGAGCCACCCAGGCGTCCCACTGAGCTCTAACTTTTAATCTAAATGCCATGTTCTAATTTCTTCATCAGCCAGGGTAGACTCTCTGGGGAAAAAAAATGGTAAAAGAGAGAGGGGAGCTTCCCTTAGCATTAATGAGAAATTTTTAGCATCCCACTTAGAGACAGAAAAATATCGGGTAACACCAAAAATTCACTTGTAGCCGAAACACAATGGGCAGCTTATTCTTAAGATTCTTTTAGCCAATCAACAACCTGTCTCCTGCAAGACTCTCTTAAACCACAGTGACCCATTCTGGGTGAACACAAAAACACCTAAGTAATTTCTCCCAAGGAAGATTGGTAAAGATGCTCCTTGGGTCTCCCAACACGGTGGCCTCCTAGAATCTTCCCAAGAGCATCTGTGCTAAAGCACAAACTTCAGACCTGGCTTTGAATCCCAAACTCTGCCACTTACTCTGCCTTCAGTCAAGTTATACAATCTTATGGAGAAAGAGAACATAACGGTATTTGCTTATAAATATGGCTCAAGGGGTGCCTGGGTGGCTCAGTGGGTTAAGCCTCTGCCTTTGGCTCAGGTCATGATCTCAGGGTCCTGGGATCGAGCCTTGCATCGGGCTCTCTGCTAAGCGGAGAGCCTGCTTCCTCCTCTCTCTCTCTGTCAAATGAATAAATAAAATCTTAAAATAAATAAATAAATAAATATGGCTCAAGTCTAACAACAATAAACATCAGCAAAGGGCCAGGCGTTGCCTCCAGCACCTGGGATCCAATGATGAAAGTCCTAGCTCTGCCCTAGAGTGTCAACCTAGTGGGACAGAGGAAGGACAGAAAGGAGGGAAGACTGGGGATGATGGAGAAGAATTAAGAGAGAACATATTCAAAATGAGGTATTTAGGTAATAACCCAATGCCTAATACCTGGTTCACTTTAATAAATGCCTTTTGGTTGTTTTTTTAACCCCTCTTCCCCCGCTAGGGATTATAGCTGTAACCCGACCTAACTTTTCTCTTCTCTTTCTGAAAATTCACATATAAAACCACCAACAAGACACCTGGTGGTCACCGGCTCCGTTTTCGGAGAAGCTCTCATTTCACTGTAACGTGCTCCTTGTTATTTTTGGCACCTGCTCTTCTGATCGTCCACGAGTGCTATGTAATTGGTATTCACTGGTTCACCTGGAAACGGGTTTCTTAAACTTTTCTACACCTCCATTAAGAAGTTTTCTCAGGGCAGATACATTGTGAATTGATTTCTAGACAGGAAAAGCTTGTAGTGTGGCACGCAGAGAGAAAATGACATCTTTTGATTCTAACGCTTCATGATTTCTACTGCCATACCTCATTATCTTACATTATCTGTTATCTTCTACAAGAAAATAAAAAGGAAGTGGACACCGGAAATAATTAAGTGGAGACTAGAAATTCTGATACCCAACTTCTGTTCACGGATAAGAAGTGAGATAAATAACTTGGATCACAGTTGCTTTCACAACCTGGACAGTATCAAAGGCAGCAAATTGTGGTGTTCTGTGTTATAAGCTGTGGTGGTTTTAAGATGTGCCCACAGATAACCTTGAGGCCCTAGAGGAGGGCTTCCTCCATGTTCTCCTGCTCTCCTGGACCACTTGCTCCAGACAAAGCCAGATGCCATGTTGTGAAGACACTTGAGCAGCCCTGACGAGAGAGACTCCTGTAAACCACAGGCACTAAATCAGCAGGGGTCTGAGGGACTAACCCCTGTAAGTGAATTCTCCAGCCCCAGTCAAGCCTTCGAATGACTGTGACTCTGGCCAACATCTTGAATGTAACCCATGAGAGGGTATGAGCCAGAACGACCAGCTAAGCCACTTCCAGATTCCTAACCACAGGTATTGGGTGAGATACTAAATGTTTATTGCTTTAACTTGCGGAGTATGAATACAACCCATTCATTTGATTATCAAATATTTACTGAGCATCTGATCCGTAGTGGAGGTGCCTGGTGCTCGGAGTACCACTATATACCAGAAAACGCCCCATGAGATGAGAAGGGGGAGATGATGGTCTGTCATTGACAGAGGCTGCAGTAACTTTAGGGAACAGCGAAGAGAGAGTACATGAGGAACCCAACCATATCTTCCAGGGTGGAATCATACCACATGTAGGCTTGATGACCAAGTTAAAGAATAAAGTAGTATATTCAGGTATTCTGAGATTTTCCATTGGAAATAGATGTAACTGACCCTCTACCATAATTCTCTCACTTCATAGAAGAAAAACTCCAAACACTGACCCAAGGTCATACAACAAGGATAGGCAGAGAACTAAGTTCCTGTGACTCCAGTTCTAAATGTACTTTTTTCTTGACTGGCTCCTCTTAGGAGTAAAAGGCATTTTTCAAGAACCAGAATGAGGCTAAAGTGTATTTCTCAATTCTAAAAAGTGTGTGTTGTTACTATAGCATACTATCTCAGGAGCTATCAATCTGGGGCATTTTTGAAAAGATACAATCAACAAAGAAAAAGCAAGGTGGATGTAAAAAATGTCTTTGAAGCTATTTCGGTTGCTACTGTCAGAAAATGTTTGAATTTAAACTCTAGTAGGCATAAAATAAGCTTATAGAAAATACTAGTTTTGGAATCTGAATCAATGACCTAGAAATAAATCTCAGAGAGGGATAAGCAAAATTTTGAAAGAGAAGAATCAAAATAAAAACGTTATTTCCAAATGGTTTGTAAAAATAATGTTTTTGAGTTACAACGTGAAAATAGGTACATTTTAAATCTACAGGTATTAATAACAGACTAGCATTTTGTTACTAGTCTGGGAAGGAGTGGATTTCCTTCAAAGGGGTTTCTTACTGGAAATAACTGAAGGATCTTGTATTATAGTCTCACCAGTCACACCAGCCTTTTCAGGATCTTTGCTATCTGGCATCTACTTCCACCACTTTTCTGAAGTTACTGAAAGGTCAACCTTTTGTCTTTTCCCTGTACAAAATCAAACTCAGACTCTTATTTCTTGACTTCTCTGTTCACTCTGTCTTCCTGAAATACTGTCTTCCCTTTGTTTCCATGAAAGTGTGGTTTCCTGGATCTCCTCTGACCATTCCTTGTCTGGCTTCCCTCCTGGCCATGGGCATCCTCTCTAGGCTCTGCCTGGTCCACTTCTCTCTCTAATTCTCCATTTCTGCTAATATAACACCAGGATTCTTCGGCTTGCCTAGGCTCCCTGCCCTTGGAGCAAACCTGGGCAGCTTTCTTTGCATTGCTTCCCAATATCCAATCAGCTTTTGAGGTTATCAGCTTCTTTCTGGGTAACATTTCTAAGACTTTCACATAACCTATCACATTTCCTTTCACATATCCGTCTCCTTTAACCTTGAAGCAGGACCTCATCCATTAGGCCCCAGTCAGTGACAATGGCTTCCAGTGGATCACCCACCTCTTTACTCCATGGTACATCCTGCAGCCAGATGAAGACCTTTCTCATCATGTGACTTCCTTGTCCAAGAGTCAGTACATGCCCTGCTGAATCCAACCTCAGCACCTCTAACCTGGAAAGACTTGCCCCTTTGCAAGGCAAAACTAAAACATTGTTAAGATCCAGCATCTTGGATGATGCCTTCACAACCTAAACCCTTCACAGCCTAACCCCCTTCCATAGTGAATTTTATTTTTCCCCATAGTCACATCTGGAATGCTCACATCTCACATTCAATTATTGTGACGAAAAGGCAGTTCTTGTAGATGCCACAGTAATGGGGAGGGGCAGCAGCAAAAGGGTTTCCACATATATTCACTAAATTGAACTGAATTATATTGCAGCTTTGCCAAAGCTTAATTTTAATCATGTAAAGATTGAGGGAGAATAGAAAGCACATCTTGCTTCAATTGTAATGGTTCTTACTTTAATTTCTTAGAATATAATAACAGAAACAGATACATACTAAAAGCATTTTTTTTTAATTAGAAAAATCACAGGGACAAAATCTTTAAATATTTTTCTTAGTTTTCGTTCCTCTGATGTTTTAGATAGATTTTATCACTCTGAATATAAAGGGTTCTTTTGGCATCTGAGGAGCTATGGATTGATGACCGTGGGTAGACTCAACTATGTGAAGGATGAATTGTGTCCAAAAAACCGTGGGTCAGACAGAGATTTTCCAAATGGGAAATGAATTCTGACAGGAAACTGCCTGCTGGGAAATGAAGGAAGGCTTTGAAAAACTAGTAATCACGATCAAATTTTCATTGCCGTTGACTGGTCTGAAACACACATGTGAAATTTATAACATATAAGTTGTTCTGAAAAGAACTTATTTATGCAGAAGAGGAAGCCAAAGATCTTTTTAAAATTTGGCATCTATATTGTCAATGTGTTAATATGTCACAGATAACAGGTCTGCCTTACAAAATAATTGATGTTCAAGCATGTTCTGTTAGGCTTATAAATCTTGCCCACCTTCATATCTCGGGTAGCTTCTGGTTAGGTAAAACTAGTAGGACGGAACCTGGATGGCTCAGTTCAGTGTCTGCCTTCAGCTTAGGTCATGATCCCAGGGTCCAGGGATCGAGCCCTGCATCAGGCTCCCTGCTCAGCGGGGATTCTGCTTCTCCCTCTGCCTCTGTTGCTCCCCCGCTTGTGCCCTCTCTCTGTCAAATAAAAAATAAATAAAATCTTTTAAAAAATAGCAGGAAAGTTGCTATGGCAAGATAGATAGTTCAAAATCATGTGTGAAACTTAAAATCATAATATGTACTTGTACCTAATTTCCTCAGCATTATTTCTTTCCATTCTGGTGTGAAATATTGTTTTCATCCACTCACGGAGCATTCACTGAGCACTGTCCAAAGCTCCAGGGATTCAACCATCCCAGGCCAAAAGGAATTCACAGCCCAACAGGGAATATCGCAGGCCTTGTGGAAGGAAATGAAGAGGAAAGGGCAGGAAATAAAGAAAAACATAATAATAAGGGGAAAATGTTGGGTTTACTTCTAGATTTAGTAGTTGAAGAATAATCCAACAACTCGGTGTTAAAAAAAAGCCAGCTAAGAACTTGGCCAACTTGATTATAGTCAGATTCAGTTTCCTGAAATTCTCATGTCTTTTCAAAGTCACATGAATATATTAGGCCAAGACGTCCACAAGGAACAGCCCCAAATGTATTAAGATGCTATAAAAAGGTGACTGTGTATCACTGAACACTACATCAAAAACTAATGATGGGGGCGCCTGAGTGGCTCAGTGGGTTAAAGCCTCTGCTTTCGGCTCAGGTCATGATCCCAGGGTCCTGAGATCAAGCCCACATCGGGCTCTCTGCTCTGTGGGGAGCCTGCTTCCTCCTCTCTCTCTCTACCTGCCTCTCTGCCTACTTCTGATCTCTGTCAAATAAATAAATAAAAATCCTAAAAAAAAAAAAAACTAATGATGTACTACACAGCGGCTAAATGAACATAATAAATCAAATAAATAAAACAAAACAAAGTGACTGTGTAGATGAGACAGTGTTTAGAGCCTATAGATAAGTATTTGTCCCTACATTTATTCCGTAAGAGAGAGAACAGTTGGTATTTTTATTTTCTAGTTTGCTTTTGGCAATACTTTCTTCATCACTGTAAAAGTAATTTAGAATTATATTATTATAGCATTACAAAATAATTCTGAAAGACTCATAGGGAGTCATTACAGAAATGTTAGAAAATACACAAACAATTGGAAGGGATCCATATGACCAAATCTAACAATTCTGCAGAAAATATCAATACAGCAAAGAAAATCTTGGAATTGAGCAGTGCTCTAATAATAAGTTGGGGGAAAACAGAATAAAATGCAACTACAAATGTATACTTACTTGGCCTGAGATGTTCTTCCCTTCCTTGCCAATATCCACACCTCTCCCATCCTCTGCAGGCCTACCCTCTCATCCTGGCAACTGCTCCTCATTTCACCTCACTCAGTGGGACAAGGCTGTGAATAACCTGCTACTATTTATTTTCCATGTTTTTGCCTTTCTTCCCAAATTGATCATATGACGTTCCCTGAGGACAAGAAGTGGGCCTTTCATTTCTCTCTGTCCCCAGCACCTAGGAAGCATCCTGCCC